CATTTTCAGATGATTGAATATCAATAAAACAATATATAAAGGCACTCTATGTAATTCTGTTTAGAAATTGGTCACTGCGATAACCACTGCACGTGGTAAAGACCAACCTGATACCATCCAAATAATAAAAATGTCCTACATTTCGGAAAACACTGCAGTGAAACTTACATGTGGATCCAAACACTGGTTTGTCTTTGCCTTCCAGCAGGTCCATGTAGGCCTGAGCTGCCTCCTTCATCTGCTCCACTAAACTACGACACAGTCAAAGGAACAAGATGTGGATTATTTTTTTTATACAGATCATGTGGGATTTGTCTGTTTTTTGTTTTTGTTTATTCCTCGGCCAAAGGAGTGTAAAGTAAAGTTAGTACTGTTTATTCCATTAACTGTTAAAACGATATTCACACTTGGTTGCAGGTTAGTTTTGGGCGACATTACAGACGTTTCAGGTTCCTCCAGAATTACTGGACCAGACCTGACACTGCTGTCATTATTCAAATCGTTATTTAGAATTTATTAATTTAAACACGGTTCTGCATGAGAGTTCTCTAAACTGAACATTGATAAGACCAAGGTTTTCCTCACTAGCTTTGTTTACATTATATACAACATGTTAGTTGTACGCCATACGTTGGATTTTTCTGCACTCTTCTGATGTCCTAAATCAGGGGTGTCAAACATAGGGCCTGCAGGTCAAAACTGGCCGGCTAGAGGGTTCAATCCGGCCCGATGAATTTTCAAATAAAAAAAAAATGTACTCCATGTTCATGATGTTTTGTAAGATTATATTTCATTAAATATTTATATTTTATAATATGCTTCTACTTCTTTGTGTCAAAAATAAGGGGAAAAACATTTCATGGAAAATTTTTCATGGGCTTTTTTTTTGTAATTAATTGTGATGATTGTACTAGTCCGGCCCACTTGACATCTAATCAGGCTGTATGTAGCCCATGAACCAAAATGAGTAGGACACCTCTGTGCTTGATTATGATCTAACCACTTTAGCATTGGTGAGTTACATAGGTAGGTAATGTATGCAAGTTCTGACATACAAGAAAAAAAAAAAGCTCATGTCGGAATTCCGTTACTATGGTGCAACGTAACTCGCACCATAGGAACGGAATTCCGACATGAGTTAAAGACTTCCTGTACTGAGCAAAAAAAAAATCTGGAGACTAGCCGTTAACGTTATTTAACACAAGACCACGGCTCTTAGTGCCACTCACTCAAGTCGGTTGTCCCTTTTCACTCCAAGCAGTTTGGCCAGTTGGTCCAGCAGGTGCAGCTGCTGGGCAGAGGTGTGGGGAGCCTGGTTGCACCCAGACAGCAGGTCTCTCCTGATGTGTTCGTGTTGCAAACTGTGGAGAAGATGCTGCAACTGAAGCACCGTGCTGAGACGCCGTCTCTCGGCCTCGGCCTTAAGTACTTGGTCCTTTTTCACCACTTTTTTCTGGGCGTTCAGCAGCTACAGAAGCAGCACGATCAGAAGAGAGAGATAAATGTACCATGTAATGTCCATTTACTGTTAAATGCTCATGCAGCATAACTCAAATTTAGAACGGTATCGGCTTCAATTATACTGTTTAGTAATTATCCGATATCGATATCAATGCGATTCTTTTATCCTCCATCATGCTACGGTCTGTTGTTGCTGGGATGATAGTGTACCTGGCATATCGGACGGCATGGGTTTTAGTTCATTTCTTTTGAAGTTTGATCCTGAAAGTTTGACCAATATCGACCAATCCCCGCCTAGTATATGTGAAGCAATTGGAAGCCATTGGAAGGGCGTTCATTTTGGGTCTTCCTAGTGGTAGTACCATGCCGTGATCACTTGGTGGCACCAGTATAAATTGGACTACTGTTGGTCAGAGACCATCACGAAAAGATGAAGGAATGTAGAGGTCAAAGCGGGGACTTTAAACCAAAGGACAATGACTTTCAAAGACTTTCAAACAAAATCTTTCAATTAATTTCACTATGATTCATAGTTTCGAAATAGGCCTGTTATTATTCACAGAAAAGGTTCTCCCTTTTTTAATAAAGGGAGGACAAAAGCTGATTTCCAACACTTTGGAATTTTTTGTGCTGAGGCTTAGATTAGCACAGCCAGCTTTGCTCCAAATTATCAGCACCAGTGGATTTTTTGGGGTCCAATTTTCTTAACCGCACTGCAGACTTCCGAAATAGAAAGCGGTTCAAAATGAAAGAAAACACTCAAGAGGTGGACAGCTGACAACGGCAGGTTCGTTCATTAAATCAGTGTTTGTTAAACGCAGTCCTTGACTAAACATTTGGCAGTTCATTCGAAGGCATAGCACCAACTTTCCGCAAATTAGTGGGATCATTTAGCTGTGCGGGTTTCAAGAGGTGGGGCGCGGATGAAAAATTATCCAATCCACATTTATTTTTGTTTTCAAGCCCTCTTGAAAACACTTATCCCATACTTTATTTTTGTCAGCATAGGTTCAAGCCCTCTTGAAAACACTTATCCCACACTTTATTTTCCCATACGTTAGCATAGGCCCAATACAATCAAATTCCATGCAAATATATTCAACACCTAAAAGCCATTCAGCAAAACTACTCACCGTCTGGGTCAAGCTGTCCAGGGTTTTTTGCAACTCGCACACAAACTCCAGATGATGTAAGACCTCTTCATACTTTTCCACAGCTTTCTGAAAAAAAAGGGTCAAATAAAACCTCAACACTTCACGTCGACGGAATAACAGCGTTTACGTGAAATGCTGAGCCATTTCCTACCAGTTGATCTTTGTTCAGTGTCTCACCCCGAGTCAGCCTCCTCTTATAGTCCTCCAGCTTTAGCTAAAGTAGACACACCAAAAAATGTAGTACATTACTTAAGACTCAGGGTTGACTCAACTCAACTCATGTGATGACAATGGCCATGATCTTGATCACCTCGGTGTTTTTTACAGGGGTTCCTCGATATAGGACGTTTTGTGGTTACGTTGCCATCTCCCTCAAATTTATTAGTAAAGTCTTGGTCAATCATCCCTATATATGGCAATTAAACTCGGCAATTAGTTCGCACTGGAACTAGTTGGCAAGTGGAGCGGACAAATACACTGTCAAGCTGCGCTACACATGGAACACCATACATCGCATTGTGTTGGTTTCTTTTGTTTGTTTGTTTTTTTTATAGGAAATTGTTTGCACCTCATTATTGCTCCCAAGTTTAAGTCATATTGATGTTTTCATGTCCTAGAGCCAGGGTTTGCCCTGTTCCCCTTGAAAGGCCTTTGTTGTGACTGAAAGACTGTATGGATGTAAGTACTCTACATCTATACAGTCTTCCATTTACAACTGGACCCTCAAAGGAAGCTGTATTGATGATGTGGGCCCCCTAGTGAAAATTAGTTTGACACCCCTGTCCTACAGTATGATGCGCAATGTAGGCGAGTGACGTGACTTACGGTGAAAAAAACATTGCGTTACATGTTAGGTATATAACTCCGATAATACAACATTTGTCGCATGTTGGACCACTACAGTGTTATGGTATGTACTAATAAACCAGCTTACCTTTTTCTTCTCTAAATTGCGGACCTTATGTTTAAGGCAAATCAGGCCGTCTTCGATATAGGTTTCGTATCCGTAGTACTCTGTGGAGATCTCAAGTCCACTTTTCCACCCAGTGGGTGAGTCAACTACTAGGCTTTCAGACATTGTTGGCTTCTCCCCCTGATGGTGGTCACCTCCATCTGAGGGCCCCAGTGAGGTGGTGTTGGTGACATTCAATGTAGGACAGGAAGACAGCTGTACCATGTTGTACTGCACACTAGAACACAACAGTGACACAAGTCAGGCTCTTTCAGGGCATTTAAGTAGTAACACAGAAAATGGTGCGAACTGAAAAAAATGACCAAGAGTGGCCTAAAAACACATGACGCAACTTAATTTTATAAATGCGCCAAACAACAGGCCTCCAATCAAAATCAGTTGTTTTTTAGCATAAACATCCCTGGCCCACAACCGGCCGGTTTTAATGCCCACTAGAACACAACAGTGACACAAGTCAGGCTCTTTCAGGGCATTTAAGTAGTAACACAGAAAATGGTGCGAACTGAAAAAAATGACCAAGAGTGGCCTAAAAACACATGACGCAACTTAATTTTATAAATGCGCCAAACAACAGGCCTCCAATCAAAATCAGTTGTTTTTTAGCATAAACATCCCTGGCCCACAACCGGCCGGTCAGCACACGGATTTTACAGATTTGCAGCCGATCATTTTGTGCACAACTTTTCCAAGCTCACCATTTGTAATACATGTAACACTGAGGTTTACAGTGGGAAAGCCACTGTAAACATTTTCTAGATTGCGAGAAAGAAGGAGGAAAGTGAACTCGTCATTGTGACACAGCACATCACTGCACATAATGAAATGCGACCTCTGTTTTTAACCCATCACCAAAGTGAACAGTGGGCAGATTTAAGCGCCCAGGGAGCAGTGTGTGGGGACGGTGCCATGCTCAGAGCACCTCAGCAGTAACTTGGCAGCTGGTGGACTCGAACCTAAAGCCTTCTAGACCCAAGAAAAAAAAATTCTGTTCTTAGTTGACTATTCTGCCAAATCTCATACTTAAATCTAGTCCCATCAAACCTGTGCCTCGCATATAGTGGGAAGGGTGTGGGGAGGGCATGAGAAGGGACTTTCAGTATAAGGTCTTATTTCAAGCTTGAAGGATAAACAAGCCTCCAGTCGCTAGAAATTCCGTGTGGGGGCGTCTTTCCCCTGTGGGGTTGGCGGGGGTATGACGGAAAATAATTGAGAAACCAACATTGATTTGTACATTTTGAATTCAAATGTCATCATTTTGGTTTTCCCCACAAGTAATACCATTCTGTAAAGGATTACTTCTTTTTTTTAAACCCTTTTTACATTCAAATCCCCCCACAACCTTGGGCCTCCATATTTATCCAAACTTTACTTCAAATTTACACATCCTCTAGTACCCTTTGCTCCTCATCCTCAGCCTTTCTGATCTCCACAGCACCTGCCATGGGTCTTAGGCGTTTTAGCTGCTCTGCCCCCTAGGACTGGAACGCACTCCTGCTCTGTACCATGACATCTTTGCCTACAAGTCTCACCTCAAAACTCAATTATTTGAATCAGCTAACCTCACATCAACAGCAGCCTCTGACAGCACCATCATGTTGCAGTTAACATTTAGCTAGTAGTAGTATTAGGAGACATGTGGTCATTAGGGTTTTGTAATGTAGCAGATAGTAGACTAATTATATTATACTGTACAGCCAATTGACAACCACCACCAGTAACCAACAAAAGGCTTAAAATTCTGTCATACTTTAACCCAAAACATTGTCATATGATAAATTATAAAAGAGATCACAGCTTTGTTTGATATTACAACGAAACCTATTCAACATTATATCTCAAAATGACAATATAATCTTATTTCCATACATTGCAGCAAAATATGGCAACTTCATCCTTCTGTATTTTTGTGTTCCATTTTTCAAAATAAGATTAAATTGCCTTTACGTAAACCTGTACGTTTTGTTTCAAAGTAACACGATTTGTATGTTCATTAATGTTTTTTTTTTTTGGTCTTGTCCCAACAAGTTTGGACGTCAAAAATGAATAAATTGTCATTCTTAGATTGTTGATAATGTTCAAGCACATACTGCTGCTGCTTTAACCATGGTCTATCATCTCTACTGCTAGTCTTATCGGAGGACCACCTCCACAACTGAGTGCAACATATAAAAAACACATTTCTCTTTCTGTTTTTATTTTATACTGTACACTACAATAGTGCAAAACGCATTTTAATGAACTCTTAAAAACATTAAGCTTTGTTTTTAATAAACTGTAATGTGAACATGGGTATTATGACCATTACTGCTTAAGATTTCTTATTACTGAAACTAAAACATGCAAAAGCAGTAGTTAAAATTATGAAACCATGAACTGTGCTAATGTTGTTTTCTTCAATCACAAAGAAACTTCGAATTAAACACTCCAAGTATCCAAGTATCATGTCACCCTGAATAAAATACCAGCTTGGTAAACTGCGGTTCCTCCCACATCAAAACAAATAAGGGAGTGTGTTTAAAGAGTGTGTGTTAAAAGAAATATTAAATCACTCCAGTCTTCTCCAAGTGGATGCCGCAGAAGGAAATTAAGAGAGTGACTTCCTCTTCTTGTGACAGAGCCAAACTTCCATCTATCGGTCCATTTTCTACCGTTTATTCCATTTGGTTAATTGGCGAGGGCGGGGAACCCACTTGACAGTTCCGCAGTGCATGGCGAAAATGACACACAGCTCGTCACATTTTACGGTTCTACCTGAACGTATGGCAAACTTTTAAGATATAGATAAACCCTTATAAGTTGACTGACTGCGACAAATCGACACAAACAAAACGGTGGACCAACCTACCTCGTGTCTTACTGGTTACTCTCGACAGACAACAGAAGACGGACTTCTGAACTCCACCGGACCTAAGAGACCACGACCCCACTTAGGAGGACGCAACCGTGCCTGCTCACACCTTTATATACCCGGAGGAAAAGCAAGGAGGCACATCCGGTGAACTCTCACATACAAGGTGACGGGCTAATAAATATCTGGATAAAAAATTAATTCCTCTAATTACTTGGGCAAATTTTATACAGATAAAAAAAATGTCTTTTTCAAAAGAGACCAGGCAAGGAAAACCGCAGAACGATATTAAATTACAATACACAGAGAAACACTAGAAATGAGACACACAATACCACCGATATGCAACAAAATAAAGGTTTTTTTGTTTGTTTTTAATTTATTTTTGTTTTATTTTTTTATTTATTATTTATGTTTTGGTATTTTTATTTCTTGGCACTCAATCATTGGTGTGGCTGCCCAGGAGATGACGATAGCAGTGGTTGCACCCAGTGCTATTTGTTAAAAGTGATTTAAATTCCACTCATGAGCTACGATATGGGAGAAAAATAGTTCAAAGTGATCTATCTAACTGTCATATTCAGTTGTTTTGCTTAACTAAACCTTCAAATTGTTTATTTTTTACTGGATGTCTTAGAGTAAGGATAAAGGTTTGTCTTTTATTATTATTATTATTATTAATCTTTATGAAATCTGCTATATTATTATTATTATTATTATTCTTTATGAAATCTGTCTACTCCACTGACCCATCAAAATCACTTTACGAGCACTATTACTATTGTTACTTCCAATGTAGTACTGCCCTGATTTTATCACTTATACTGCCGTGTGAAATGTATAACATGACTGCTGTATTTTGATCAGGCTTTCACTCAACTATAGGTCAACTATCATTTGTTGCCTTTTTGGGTTTTTTATTTATTTCTTACTCCTACATTTGTTGTTGTTATTGTGCTTGATTTGATTGAATGCTTCCTTGGTCCTAAGAATATTTTTACACTCAATATATATGTATATATATAGTTAATTAAAAGTACTGAATCCCTGCTACTTGGGATAGCCTGGCGTGAGCGACGTTCTGCGCATGCGCTTGCAGGTAGGTTCCATTCCGACGTGGCGTTCACTAACCTTACGAAAACTATTGTATCCAAGCCCGAAAGTTGACACCACTTAACATTAACAATTACATTGTTGATATTAATTAAACCATTAATTAAATAATTGGCACTGTAACAATCTCTTGTTGTTTCTTTAAGAAAAAGAATACGATTAATGTTTCATAGTAGGGTTTATTTATAATCAACACAACATTCTATTGATTATAAATAAATATATAGTATACAGAGTATACACTCGTTGTAGTTCATGCATAATTATATATATATATGAATGTAAAGATATCACCGTATTTATTGTCATTTATAAAACTTCCTCCCAAACACACATACACACACAAAAGTAACGCTTATTAAACATACTGACATACTATGTGATGTCGTCATTCAAAATATTACTCCTAACACAGTAAATCAATATATTGTAAAAATGTTTGTTTTGTTTTTTTATCCACCTATTCACTATCCGTTGCTTAAAGACGTTCGTGAGAAATTAGTGTTTTCCTGAGCGGCCCTGAAGGTAGCACAGTCCATCAACACGGTCGTGGACATAAACATATGCGCCGTCCATGCAAAGCATAGCACGCACCGTTCTGTCCTTCACGAAGGCGGAATGGACAGAATCTCCGGTGTCGTGGACTTCATTCTCAACCCAGCGAAACCAAGGGTGAGTCCTGGCTCAACATGACATTGATCCAACCGGAAAAGAAGCACAGAAAGGACTCTGCCCACCAACAGCCGTGGCGCCTTGTCCGGCCAGAGACGCTATGGGTAGTGCTTCGCAACACGGTGCTGACCACCGTCTCTGTCCTATGTTACGCCAACTCTCTTCATGGGGAGTTGGTACACGACGATATGTGGGCGGTGGTCAACAACCCAGATGTCCGAGCCGGCTCCAGTGTCTTGAACATCTTTAGCAACGACTTCTGGGGCAAGAAGATGTGGGACAACGCGAGCCACAAGTCCTACAGACCGCTGTCCATACTCACCTTCAAGTAGGGTTTTTTTTGTTGTTGTTGTATTTTCTTAACAACCCGCCTTGTCGTTATTGTGAGACACTCATACTTACCACCACATCTATGTAAACACAGACAGAGGCTAACACCACACAACTCTTAATGCTGTTCATACATTTTACGTAATATGACTAAGGTTTCTAGAAAGACTGCGCGGGATTGTAATATGACTAAGGTTTCTAGAAAGACGGAGCGGGATTCGATTTCAGGCGGGATGTTTCATGACTTTTGTCCGATTTTTGCTCAGCGTTCATTTTTTAGTTATTATGAAACATTTCCCACAAACTGAAGTCAGTCACGTGATCTCTCTTCAGTTTAACAACTTTAGAATAAAGTGGTTGGAATCTGGAATTAAAGATACTAAATGAAATTCGGTACCTTTGCACCCAATTTTTAGAAACATAAATCCTTGTACAATATGTCTACATAGCAAAAGAACAAAAATATCAGAAGTTTATGTTATTTTTGCAGTGATTCTAAGAAAAACTGATTTTGATGCAGAGACATCTATTCTGACCAAGAAAGAAAAAAATAAAGACCAGGGCAGGTGATTTTGTTTTTCCCACCTGTACCTTTGTATTCTTGGTGTCTTACACCCCCTCTTGCCCCAGGTTATTTTTCTGTATGTATTCAGAGGCAGTTAGCAACACATTTCTAACTACTACTGTCACTACTACTATGTCTGGTAAAAATCCTTTAACCTGACAGTAACTTATTCTATTCACTTGTTCAGCTCTAGTTGTGAACACTCTGGTCACCTCTTAGCATTAGAGATGGGTGGGCTATCAAGTTTTTCATTGGATCAATACAGTTCTAAAAGCAATACAGAATGAGATTATGTTTTGTATGCCAATATATCATGGTTGGTGTAGCGGTTAGCACGCCTTTTTCCTGTCTGGACGTAACTCCTAGACGGTACCTATTGGTATCTGTTGTAATGCCTACAACACTATTGTCTACATCCTTTATTTTCCTTTGTATCAGACCTTTTCTTTCCTCCTTTCTGCTCCAATGCCGTGCTGACTTGATCATTCTATCCTCAACTTTCCTTGTACACCTTCCTGCCAGTATCCCCTACCGTTACTTTAATTCACTTCTTCCTCTTCACAGTCAATTCACAGTCACCCTAAACAACAACGCCCTACGCTGGCTTTCTACACTCTTCCCTATCACTACTCTACAATTTCCTGCCTTTCTTACATTGCACTTCCTTCAGAGGAAGTAGTCCACCTGCGATAAAAAAATAATCTGAACTTTTTTGGGTGGAAATTGTTGTCTAAACAGCAGATCAGTTTCGACAGGCGATGCCAAGTATGTGGTTTCTCTGGGGCTTGAACCCAGCACCTTCTGGATGTAAGATACACATCTGCGATACGCTATAGAACCACTAATAGATACATTTGAGGTCATTTTGAGGTATGCGCAAACCGTTTAGCCTCACAGACGAGTCCACCTGTACGCACCGTCCTCTGCTGTTAACGTAACTACATAACACCCACCACTAAACATCCCAAACGATTCCTCTTTTACTTGTACCTGAAATCCATCTTGTGTTAAGAACACACCTTCAGCCTTGAACAACGCATCCAAACCTTCCAGGCTGAAGCTAATGAACCTTACACTTGACTTCAGAGCCTAAACCCTCGCAGATAATCCTTTCTCCATCTCCATCCTCATCCACACAAGGGTAAAACCTAACGTAGCGTTACCTGAGCTGGTAGCTTTGCCAGGCGTATTGTAGATAAGAGGAGGTACTATTCTTTGTCAGAAATAATTTTCAATTGTGAAGCTGAAGAAATAGCAACAATTTCAAATGCATATGTTGGCAGTTGAAAGCACTTCCTGTTTTCTCTCGTTAAACATTCTGCCCATGGATTGCACAAGCTTTCATTTGTCAGAAAGTTGGGTGCTCAGGACAGATTTTCATGTCGTTCCTCTTTCCTCCATAACTTTATTTTGAGAGTTTTGGAACTAAAGAGAGAACCTGTGATTTAGTTTGCGGGAAATACTTCACAGTTAGTTGCTACGAGAATACATTTTTGCGCCGAAGAACACTTGATTCTCAATGTATGCTGACTTTGGAATTGGCAGTAATTGGTATTGACAGGTCATACAAAAAAAATGTCTTAATAAAACCAAGTTATAGACATTTATGAGTTAACAATTTCTTTTATTTTAAAGTACTGTACAGTGTAATGTTTTTAATTTTTTTTCTTCTTCTTCTTCTTCTTCTTTCTCTCAGGTTGAACATCTTGTTAGGCGGTCTGACTCCATTATATTTCCACATTGTCAACGTGTGCTTGCACTGCGCCGTGACCTGCCTGCTCATGCACACATGTCACCGCTGTGTGTTTAAAGACTCCCGTCTGGCCTTCATCACAGCTTTGCTCTTTGCTGTGCACCCTGTCCACACTGAAGCTGTGAGTACAGTATCCCTAAGTAATTTAAATTCCGTGTGCGTGCGTGCCTGTGTGTCTTGTGTGGTACCGGAGTGAGAGAGAGGAGTTTCGAGTAATCCGCTGTGAATATTACGTTAAGTTGTTTTGGCTATGGTCCACAGTAGCCTGTGTACTCCTAACTGAACCTTGAGTCAAACGCACCTGGCAGTATCATCATTTTGTGCCAAGGGACGCTACAATGTTTTTGACTGATTAGAGGCTAAGATATATTTATAATTCACCATTGGGTATTCGCCTCATTATCTGACATCAAACATCACCCATTTTTATTTACTGATGGCTGATGTCAGTTGACATCTGATACATTGGTGCATCCCTAAGAGGTGTGTATAGATAGATAGATGGATAGATGGACGGACGGATGGACAGGTAGGTAGGTGGATAGATAGACTGATTGATTGATAGGTAGATTTATTGATTGATTGATATAACAAAGTGGCCTAGAGTCCGACTGACCCATTGCTGGAAAAGTTTTGTTTTAGAAAGAGTTTGGTTTAACAAATTCGATTTATGAAAATCTTGGGCCTAAGCCTCTTCAAGCCTTTGAAGTCTTTCGCATGGCTAGCTTTAAAGGGCGTACGTCTAGACAGCTTCGAAAGCGAGGTCCATGTGGACAGCATGTGAGTTGTGAAAAAGATTCAGGAGCAGCAGGCATTGTCAGTCACACTCGCATATGAATCTTTTGAAGCCGTGCATCAGTCACACTCACACACACACACACACTAAAGACATAAAAACAAATCGCTAGCTGCTAAAGCTGTTCTTCTGTCACCCATCTGTATTGGTGCGTCCATGTATGGGTCACATGTTCAGCAAAGGTTTACTTTCAATGTGATTGTTACATTAAAATAACCCTTGGTTTATGCAAATATTTTGAAAGGTACTTTTGTTTTTTTATTCAAATGTTTTCCAACATGCATCTATGTTTCCTACCATGCAATGTGTGTGTGTGTGTGTGTGTGTGTGTGTGTGTTACAGGTGTCTGGTGTGGTGGGCAGGGCAGATGTTTTGGCCTCCTTGCTGTTTTTGATGGCTTTTCTGGCCTATACGAGGTAAAAGGACTCTTCGTCTTACCAGAACGTTCTCCTCTCTTTTCCATATACAAGTTAAGACAAGTCAGATTGATATCGTAAAAAAAAAAAAGTTAGCGATGTAACGGTAGAACCGCCAGAATCACGCGTCTTGCCAGTTTTGCAGCCAATTTCTTTTTTTTAGGCTAGTAAGGTCACATTCCAAGCTGAAGCTAACATTTGAACTCTTTATGGTGAACCGATACATTTCCAAGCTCACTATTTGTAATGTTTTGAAATTTTAAAGGAAATGTTTCAATATATATTTGATATGAGAATTAAATTGTTGGCCGACAATCACTTTAGTTTTTGTACCTGCTGTAAACCGCTGAGGAAAACCTGGATTCTTTTCTCTCTCTGTGTCAGAAGTGTGGATGTGTGTCTTTCTAAAGACTCCCTGCCGTCCACCGTCTCCGTGTGGTCCCTCTTCTTCAGTTTGCTGCTGGGCACCTGTGCCATGCTGGTGAAAGAAACGGGCATTACCGTGTTCGGAGTGTGTGTTTTTTATGACACACTTGTCCTGTGCCGCAAGCCCCTCATTAGGTAAGAAAATCCTCAGGGTTTTGTTCACTTTTGTTGCCGCCGCTCTTCATTTTGATTGTATCATTAGTAAAATGCAGTGGTGATTTTTTTTTAAATTTAAAATAATAAATACCCCAAATATTTGATCCTTCTTTTATCTTTATCTATTCAATTTTCTTACTTACTCTGGATCTCCTTTTCCTATTCCAATCCTTACTTCTCCCTAACTCAGTGGTTCTCAATTATTTTCTGTCATGCGCCCCCTTGGGGACAGAAATGTTTTCACGTCCCCTGCAACCCACACCCCCATTAATTGAAAAACTATTGAGAACTTGATAACATGTACATTTTTATCTGTACAAACCACTGTATGAGTTGCTGCCCCCTAGTGACTGGAGGCTTGTTATCATTCAAGCATTACAGCAGTGGTACACTGATGTCCACAATATCGGCATATCGGCAAAATGTTTATATCGGACATCCCTACACAAAATGATGTAACAAATTACGTTTTTTAAAGTCATTAAAAGTCACAGGTGATCATGTGACTTTGCAATAATCTGTCCTGACCAGTGAGTACTGTCATATGGCTGACCTCTGTCTGTTTCTCTACAGTCAGCTCTGTAGTTCCAGACGAACAAACCTCCTCTACGGTCCTTTCATTAAACGGACCTTTGTATTATCTGGATATGTAAGTACTGTTTTTGTTTGTTTTTTTTTCTCCATCACAGCCATGAAACATGTTATTTATTGTCTTCTGATTATATATTCTTCAATTCAAATATCAAGTGTCACCTTCCTCTCTCCGCCTTCCCTTGCTCCCTGTGGCAGGTTATCATTATCATGTCTGTCAGACTGTGGCTTATGGGGGGATCCATGCCTCTTTTCTCTGAGCAGGACAACCCTGCTTCCTTCTCTCCTCATCTGCTCACCAGGTCAGTGTTTCAGAAGCTCTGGGCACCGTCCACTGTTTATGGTCCGAAATCGTCTTTGTTTGTTCTTTTGTCTGTCACCATTTACATCACAAAATCTTTGGCAACTACGTTTCATCTTCCCCAAAAATAAACTTGATGTAATCACTCCTTCTAGTGCAGCATTCAACCAGTTGGTGTTTGGCACCTCTACTGCTAATTCCAATTCCGATCAGTTGATACAGTTGTCCCGATCTGGGATTCCTTCATGATCAAGACTAACCTTAGGTCAGTCGTTCTCCCTGCGTTCCTGAAATCGGTTCATTCGAGAGTCAATTCGACATTCAAGGAGTGCAGTCAGTTTCTCCGACCAGTGTGTCGTGTCAGGGCCTGGTGCTGAACAGCTTTTCATTATGGGGACTCTTTCCTAAATGTCATTGTGATTATTAATGGTTCTTACCCTGGAAAGTTTGGTTCGCTTTCAAAATGATAGGAAAGTAGGGGCTCAATCCGATACTCAGGATTGGTATTGGTCTGATATTGGTCAAAATTTCAGGATGGATATCTAAGGCCAAATGTTCAACTTAAATTAGTGCGACGAGCCATAAACAAGGACACTATCACCTCAGCATGCTGGAGGAGAAAAGAAGATATCGGATTGATATTGGTATCGGCAGATGCTCCAAGCTGTAGTTTTGGTATCGAACATGAAAAAGTTGTATCGAGCCATCCCCATTAACAAGCCCATCCAGTCTTCTAGAGGAGATTCGGAAGATACTTTTTTCTAGTCTAGGCCCTTAGGAGACATTCCCTAAGAAACTACCTTGATGACTGTTCCCTTTATAGTTAATTTTTTTTAATGCTTTTGTTGATGAATATTTCTTCTACCTATTATATTTATCAAGTCCTTTTCCTGTCAACTCTTTGCAGGACTCTGACCTACTCCTACCTTCTGTCCTTCAATGCTTGGCTGCTGCTTGCCCCCATAGTGCTCTGTTATGACTGGCAAGTGGGCAGCATTCCCCTGGTGGAATCTGTAGTCGACTTGCGCAACTTGGCCACAATGCTGATGGCTGTTTTGATGGTTTCTTTGTGTCTGACCTCTATCTTCTTACTACAGGTACGACACTTAACACCAGTTGTGAGAATAATCTCAGAAATTTATAAACATTATCTGCAACCTGGTTAGCCATTGGGCTACCAGACTAGCCAAGGTTTATTGTCCATTAAAGTGAACTGCACTTAATCCTCAAATGTATGGGTAGACTGGCCAATTATCAATAATGGAAAATAAGACGGGTAGAAAAAAGTTGAAAGTGATGAGCATGTATAGTCTGTATAATTTTGTGATTTTCACATAAATAATAGGTGTGACATTTAATATAAATGGGCTAATTTCTCACTTTACCTTGATTTCTTTTCTTTTATCTCACTCTCTCTGTCCGCAGAGACAAGACAGTAGAGAAGTGTTAATGGGGTTGTTGTTTTTGGTGTTTCCCTTCATTCCTGCAAGTAACCTCTTCTTCAGGGTCGGCTTTGTCGTGGCTGAAAGGATTCTCTACATGCCAAGGTGAGGGAATGGGGCTGTACAGTAACATTTATAATAAAGGCTGTGAACGGAAAAACATAAATGGATGCCAAAACAGTTTTTATCCCAGAAGTTTCAATGCCTTTTAGGTCAGTCATGTTTTCAAGACAAACAAGCACGGCTCGTGAACAGAGCCTACAAAGGTTGTTCTTTTTCTCAGATTCCCTCCCTCTGGACCTGACCTGGGATTTTGTGGGAAACCTATCCCTGCTCCACTTTAGATATAATACATGGGTTAAAAACCTGTCTTAGTGGATTACACTACAAAATACTACATAAATATAATATCTAAGCTTGCTAGTTAGTTAGCATCCATCATAGTAAAATAGTATTGTGCTTATACAGAAGCTAAGCAAACCCTATCCAGCAGGCTGCAGTCTGTCTCTCCATGTACTTCCAAAACATGGCATGCACAATTGTTTGGTGTTTTGTTGTCCAATAATGACACAGAAGCTCAGTGTTTTTACTGCTCATAAACTCCCATAATGCCCAGCTGTAGGAAATCCTTGTTCTCCACCATTGTACACCAGTGTGTCAGGTCCAAAGGGAAACCTTTGCAAAGGATTTGACTTTTTTTTTTCCAATTTTCTAAAACCACGCTTCACACCTGGGATTTCTTGTTTCTCGAGCTTAACACTAACTATTTGAACTGATTTACGACGTTGCTTTAAAACGCCCTTTTATTATTTACTACCCTTTTCTCCTTCTCCAGCATGGGCTACTGTATCCTCGTGGCTTATGGCTTCAGTAAGCTGTGTTCAATGGTAGGCCGATGGGGGAACGCAGTCCTCACTGCCTTCATGCTGCTTCTGCTCCTGCTGTTCTCCTTGAAGACAATCCAACAGAACTACGTTTGGGTGTCCAGGGAAGCACTCTTCAGGTAAGAGTACAAACACAAGAGGACAGTAAATCTATCGATCTACAGTATCGATCAATCAATCGATCGATCTATCTATTAATCTAATCTAGTCCTCTTTTTCACAGAGACAGGTAAAACTGAACAGTACTGTCTGTGTGTACTCTTCAAGGATCGAGTTGTAATACAGGATTCAGTCTGTACTGGCGAAACAGTCCTGGAGCTGATTTCTTCAGGCGTTCCAAAAGACAATGTTGATCTTTTCAGCCTTTATTTGTTGACTATTTATATTTAATGAAAGAACTTAATGTTTTCTTTTGAACGCTGCAACCCTAACTGAAGTGATATAAACCTCTGTATTTCTTCAGTGAGGGCTAAAGCACCATTCTTCCCTAAAAACTAGAGATATCTGATAATATCTGTCAACCAGTATTATCGGTAATATACCGATATTAGTGTACTTATGTAATATTGTTTTTTTTCTGATAATAAATACTTGAAAGCAAAGTTTTGCCCAGATGATGCGACCTAAAAAAAGTGAAAGTGAAAGAAAAATAAACTATGACCTGCGTTTATTTTAACCTTTTTTTAACGTATTATTCTCTTCTTTTTCTCTTATTTCAGGTCTGGAATCCAGACATTGCCTCACAATGCTAAAGTTCACTACAACTATGGCAATTTCCTGAAAGACAGTGGTCGGCACGATGAGGCGATTCACCACTACAATACTGCCTTAAGGTTTGACTCTCCCTGTGACACAAATACTTCCCAACAGTGACTTGATTTACACCATGCATACTGTATGTTCTCCGTCTCTGTCTCCTCAGACTTTATCCTCGACATGCTAGTGCCTTGAACAATTTGGGAACTCTTACACACTCTCCGGAGGAGGCTGAGAAATACTACAGGAGAGCACTTGACACCAACCCTCAACACAATAGAGCCCTTTTCAACCTGGGGAACCTCCTAAAGTAAGAGAACGATTACAAAAAAAAAAATCAATCATACAATTCTTTGGGCCATAGTTTTAACCAGGGATGACTCGAAACAACTTTTTCATGTCCTATACTGATACCAATACTGCAACTTGTAGTACCAGTATCAGGTTGCTGAGGCGACAGTGTTCCCGTTTACGGTATTTGGGCTTAGGTATCAGACTATAACTGTTTTGTTTTTTTTCATTGATTTTCAATCATGAAATTTACTCTGTATTTGAACAACTTTTAAACTTAATAATAATAATAAATATATATATTTATCTTATTTATTATTTTATTTTTATTATTTATTTTAAAAAAATATTGATTTCTTTATAACAACTTTTAAGCTTTTAAAGCTTTTTAAACTATTTCCTGTATTCTAATGTGTGCTAGGATGCAGGGCAAAGAAAAGGAAGCCGAAACGTTGCTGATGGACTCCATACGCTTTGGACCACATTTCGCTGATGCTTACTCCAGTCTCGCATCACTCTATATTGAGCAGGTAAACCATCCAGAATGATGTCGTCTTTACCATCATATGGACACAAACATGTACCAAACATGTTGTTTAGTTTTTTTGCAAATTAAACAATGCGTTGACCTCTGCATCTCCCCCCACAGAAACGATTGGCTGAAGCCGATGAATTGTATCTGAAAGGCATAAAGAACTGTCCAGACAACTCAGACCTGCATAATAATTATGGAGTGTTTCTGGCTGACACAGGTCAGTTAAAAGAGAAGACAATATAGTTTTAATAACATAACGTAATAATGTTCCAAATTGGACTTTTTTCTAATAACAAATAATAATAATAATAAAAAATGTTCCAAATTGGACTTTTTTTTCAGTATCCCATCTAAGTAATTTGACCTAATACAGACTCTAATGACAGTTGATAATCACTGGTCTAGACCTACAACTGAGATTCTTTCTCTCCATAAGATCAGAGATTGCAGTAATGCAGTAATTCCGATCTTTGTACTTGTTTTGTGCTAAGCCACCTCACCTCACTCTAAGTGTTTGCAAACCAAGTATTATTGCACATTTGTTCATATAGCATAGTGAAATGTATGTGTGCAGTAAAGTACTTTTGAATTCATTTCACACAAAAGCCATTAGGGAGCTAGGCTAGTTTAGCAGTAATGTTTACACCCTGTGATCACCCCTTTAGGAGAAGCCGAACAAGCTGCAAGTCATTACCAGCAAGCAGTCCAGCTCAAACCTTCACACTATGTGGCCATGGTAAACCTGGGCCGTCTGCTCCGGGCCTCCAACGATAACAAAGCAGCAGAATATTGGTACAAGAGGTAAGTATAAAAAAAACATGTGTATTGTATTCACTAAGAGAGAGGCTCATGGTTGGTCGCTATTTGCTCAATTCATTATTTTCATTCCAATCCTTGTGTATCAAGCGATAACTAAGCGAGTTTGCAAATATTCTATAACAAGGCTAGGTAGCGCTAGGTATCCCGCGATATGATACTATCTCCAGATTGTGCTGCATTGTGGAAGTTTACAAAAATTGCAGAAGACTATTGTGAAAATCTGTTTTTGACAACTGCATGTTTGTTTGTTTGCACCAGTATATTGATAATGTATTGCAAGAAATAAAATGTCAATATTTTGGTACAATCCATTATGTAAAGTGTTACAAATTTACAAATTTCTGAAAAAAAAATACAAAAAATATATTTAGGTGAAAATGTTTGAAATATATATACACTAATATACCCATGGCGCACCACCACACAAAAATCTCACAAAAAGTATACGTAATAAAATATAATAATCTTCTCATTTAAATTTACTCACAATTTACCAACGCAGTGTGAAATCTCTGCCTGTTTAGTTGAAGACATTGCTGACATGCTCGCAGGAATTGAAGAAAGACACTCACAAAGATCTCCTTTGTGAACAGCTCTGATTCTCATTGTTTAGTTTCCATAGTCGTGCTGTCATCTAGTGGAAGAGTATTACTATTATTAGGTAATACATTTAATGATGTCTCACGGCACAGTGGTTGGAAATCACTGAATGAAACAATAACACAATTATACATAGTTGAACACACCAGGTCTGAGCCTTTACTCTATTCATTTACATCTTTTCCCTTTAGGGCACTGCAGGTCACGAGAAAGGTTGACATCTTGACACCACTTGGAGCGCTGTACTACAACACAGGACGTTACGAAGAGGCCCTGCAGGTTTACAGAGAGGCTGCAGCCCTACAGTCGGACAGCATTGACATCTGGCTGGCTTTGGTGAAAACACACACACACACACACACTGACTCACACTCACACACAGAGGTCATCAAATCTGGCTTGTGTCAGATTGATTAAAAAACACACACCTGGCCTCTGTGTATTTCTGAATCAGAAGTGAACACATTTTCTTGTTGGTTATTTCTTATTTAGGTTCAGGTGTTGGTGATGGCTGGTTATACCGATGATGCTGAGAAGATGACCCTGGACATCATATCCAGAGAAGGCAGCTGTATTGAATGTTACCGTCTTCTGTCTGCCATCTACAGGAAGGGTGGAAACTTAACACAGGTGTGTTTGTGTAGTCGACGTCCAACAAATGTATCTAATATCAGACTGTGTTCTTAACTTCAATATATGTCAACATATATATATGTGTGTGTATATATATATATATATGTGTGTGTGTGTGTATATATCTATATGTGTGTTTATATGTATATGTGTATATATATACACATATACACATATATACACACATACACGTATATATATATATACATATATGTATATTTACAGTGTTAATTTACTATGATGGAGTATTAGGGCCACAGAAAAAAATTAAATATGAGACTAAAGTTTAATCATTACAGGAAAAAAGTCACATTGTTGTGATCAAATTTATAAATAATTTTCCAATTAAATTAAGTAAATTTTCTCTCGTAAAAATACCTTTTTGCTCAAAACATTTAGACTGTATTCTCTTTTTTGTCTCGATGTGGCTCTAATACTTTGTCGTAATTTACAAATATATTTACCCATGGAAGGACGTGTATGAAGTTTAGAATGAAGTTTCTTTATAAATAAAAACCATTTTGAACAGTAAATCAAGCGATAAAGAAAATGTTACGTACTATTGTGTTATTGTAAAGTAAACAGACATGAAAAGAGGAGTCTGTGGTTCCTGGTGCAAACCAACTCTTTACCAATATATCTGGCTGTTTATATTTAAATATATGTGTGTGTGTGTGTGTGTGTGTGTATGTTTTAGGCCTTAGAGGCCCTGGACCGGGCCCTGCAGTTAAACCCCACTGATACGGCAGTGAGAGCGGAGCTGCATTTTTCCAAAGGAAACCATCTCAGAGAGATGAACCAGTTAGATCAAGCCTTCGAGGTACCGCTCTTTCTCTCCTTCTATATTTTCTATATTTCAAACATTTTCAGTAAGTCCTGTTGTTTTTAACAACCTGGTTTAAAACACACACAGACGTCCACAAACACACTAGAGTTGTTTGATTCCTTTTGTTCCGTTCTTATCTGTCAACAGTTCCTAGAAAATGTATTATTCAATGGTAATGGTACAAATTTAAAGCTTTAGTTGATTAGTTTTATTCCTAGAGCAAACCCTGCCGGCACTTTAGCTAGTCCACGGGGGCTACCAGGTGCCCCAGGACCAGATCCTGTCGAAATCCATTGACGTTAAGTCTCTTCGTTTCTCTCTCAACAGAGCTATAAACTAGCTGTTGAACTCAACCCTGACCAGGCCCAGGCCTGGATGAACATGGGAGGAATCAAACACATCGAGGTAAACCGTGGCTCAACGAGACCCTTGTGATTTCATGGTCATCAATGTTGCATGTGTCAGCAAGATTGAGACCCTTGTGATTTCATGGTCATCAATATTACATGTGTCTCATCAGCAAGATTAACCCTTTCCAGTGATACAAAAGCAATAAGCAACATCAATATGTAAGTAGTAATTCATCAGATTTTTGAAGCCTCAAAAGTCTCTGAGTTTGTAAAATCAGACCAAACTTCAATATTTAAACCAAACTCGATTCGGAACCTGTCAAAAGTATTGAAGCTTTGCAACAGGTTTAAGTACCGAATGGGGGACTTTTAACGCACAAGCTGCCACTAGGGGGTGCGTGAGATAAAACGTGATTGTGTTGGGATTTTTTTCATTCACTCAAAAATGTAAAATCGAAAGCTGACATTTAAAATGTACAAGTAAAGGCAGGCTATTTATGCATTTAGCGGATGTTTTTATCAAGGGCGACTAACAAGGGGTGTGCGGAAGTGTGGATCTACGTCCTTCCTATTCTCTCATCCCAAAACATGTATTATGTTATTTACATTTTGCAACTTTTTGCAGGGAGACTTCGCCGCAGCCAGGCAGTACTATCAGCAAGCCCTGCAGCTGAGCCCCGATTCAACACTTCTGAAGGAAAACTTGGCCAAACTCGACCGTCTAGAAAGGAAACAAGCAGCAAGAGCTTAGGATTCCACAACAAAGACTACACCGTACTGGGTTTAGGCATTTAGGCACAACATTTGGGGAATTTTGCTGTGTACGGATCCCAGAGGTGACATGGTGAGAAAAAAAAATCTCTGCGGAATCTTGTAAAACATTCGCAAAATTTCACTAGTGGAAGCCCGTGTTACCTTCATGTAACACTCTAAAGCTCGAATTTTACATAAAAATGTAAAAACAGATCATGGCTTTAATAGTTTGTTAAAAAAAATAATAATGTATTTATTTATACATTTAAAACATTTAAAATTAACAAGGCTATAACTTTTCCAAAGTAATGTGGAAATCTTGTTAAATTGCAGTTATTTTTGTTTGTCAACAATGATAGGTTAGCACTTCCCTGGCCAGCAGGTGGTGCTAAGTATGCATTGAGGTCCTGTCTCCATGGCCAAAGTTACAACCTTATAAATAAATAAAAGAATTAATCTTCTGGAGACAACATTTAAAAAAAAAAATCTTTCGTTTTATGAAATAAACTTCTATAAAGTATTTAAAAAGTACTCGAGATTAATTTTAGGAGGTCATTCTTGAAAAGAAGACATTTTCAATTTTTTTTAAAGGCTTTAATAGCATTGATCTATACAAACATAGTCTGTGTAGAAGATTGCTGAACAAGGATTAGTCCAGAGGTCACCGGGAAGAGCAGCATGAACTGTACAAAATCAATATTTGGGAGACAGAATTCATCAAACAGTGGAACATGCTTAAACCCGAGGACAGGGCATCTCGATCTCAAGACTGCAGTCTGGACCAGACTCTGGAGTCCATCCAGATCCAACACATATCAGATACAGAGGATGTTTCAGTCGCATATTTCAAAGACCAAAAAGTTGACCATGAAAATGCACTTGTACTGCAAATTGTCTTTGTTTTGTCCTAATCCAGCATAAAGCCATTGTGTTTGACTTGCACAGAATATGATGACGAGATCGTACCACAGCAGTTTAACCAATGAATATATATTTTGTATGTTGCGTTAACGTTGTATGTTTGTATGTGCTAAAGCATGAAGTATGAACAAAAACAAAAATGTGATTGAAAAAGGTGAGTTCATTAAACGTTATTGTGGTCTGGATGTTTGACCTTAAATTATAGAAATATATAGAAATATATGGATATATGACAAATCATTTGAAGACCTCCTATAATAAAAGAGCATAAATTGAAATGATGATCGGGGAAATAACGCAGGCGAGACACATTAGAGGGGGGTGCCCAATTGCGATCTACCAGTAGATGGCAATGGTGGTGCCAGTAGATTATGAGAAATTAAATACAAATATAATTATGTAGTAGTGACTAGGGGTGTAAAAACATCGATAAGCTGATATATCACAGTATTTTAGTTCACGATACTCGGTATTCTGTGGCACCTTTTCTTTCTTCTGTAGATCCCTCTGTTCCAATTTCAGTAACCTGATACCTTAAGCATGTATCAACAACAATGTAATTGTGATACATATTGTATCGTCAGATTCTTGCCAATATGCATATATTCTAAGAATATCGTCATATTGTGCCATACAGCTACATGCACTAAACAGTACCTCAACATATACACTGAAGAAAATAGGGTTTAAAAAACAAACAAATGCTTTTTGTTTAGCCACACTAAATGTAATGATTATTGTAGAAATTACATTAAAATAATAATTTTAATGTTATTTTAGTGTTTTTCAGGTCAATCAAGATACAAGGTCTAAAGGAACTGCTGTCAAATCCCCCATGGCAACAAATAAAGTCTTCTTAAAGGCTTGAAAAAAAAATGTACGGGCTTCAATTTGACACAAGACATTAAAATTTGGTGATGTAACTGAATTCAAAACTTATTTTGGTGTATAATAGTATTTAAATTAGCCAATAAACAGAGTGAAAGGCAGCTCCAACACCTGCTAATCCCTCTCCCCCCTTTGTTTCACATTTACTTTAAGTTTAAAATGTAAAACAGTAAAACGCCATTAATCAAAAATAAAATGTCTTCTGATTTTGGTTACAGTATTTCTGCAATTCAAAAACGTGACGTTTTACTTCGTTACCTTCTTGTGAAAAGTATTTGACCCGTTTTGAGCAGCACGCCCCCCGATGGCTGCAGGCTAGCGGTGCAGCCGCGGCCCGCGCTGGGACTGGTCCTTCGCAGCCATTTTCTGTCCAACCAAACAGCCGTCTGAGGGAAGGAACCAACCAGGGCTTCATCATTACAGGTTTGTGCTCCGCTCCGGCCAATGATTGCAAAACGATTTCTTTTTAGCCCGAACGGAAGAATCTGTGTCGCTTCGGTTTGTAATTAGTGGCTGGAACAAATGAGAGTTGCTGTTTATAAAGTATTTCTGTACAAATAGAGAGAAAAGTACGTCTCGTCATTTCGACTACAGCTCTGTCTTACTCTGCCGTGTTTGACAAAGGACAGGCTAGCGCGTGCTAACTCCATATGCGGTGGGTATCGTGTTTAATGGAAATGGGCTACCTAAACATGTGAGCCTCTGAAGGTAACTAACGTGTTAAATTGGTAACTTATGTCTTTAGATGAAAACGATATTTTCCGCGCCTTCTAGCAGCTAGCCCGCATTAGCTACAGTCTGTTTAGCTTGTAGCTCATGAAAGTGATGGAGCATGTTTTGTGCAGTTGCAACCCCCCTAGTACTAGTTATCCACGATATATTTACGTAGCATGAGATTTTTAGGGATAATAATGCACACCATATTTGCTTCTTTAATAATAAGGACCTTAATGTTACGATAGTGCATGTAAACCCAAGTGGTTGTCGGCCTGCCCCCACACAGGCAAAACAACTGGACCACTTTGGATACAGTTGCGTTTCCAAGTGAAAAATGAACCCATTCATGACAATATGATAGGGAAATTTAGAGTACTAGTTGATTATTTCCACCGTAAACTGGCCCTATTGTATCAGTGATTTATAAAGGGAATACCAAAATTCAAAATACCAACGACCAGCATAATTACCGTTTCCATATGTGTTGCTAAAGCCAGCCCAATCAATCACTGGATCAGGTAGTTATTTATCTTAACTTGGTTACTTCATGAAATATTTTGGCAAATTATGATTATTTTATAGTTATTTTCTCTCAATATGGTTAGGTTTAAATTTTAATTATTAGTTAAAACTCGTCTTTTATTTAAAAATATAAATAGAGTAGACTACTATGTATAAAAATAGTACTGTGTGTGTTTAATCCTGTTACAGCAAACCCAGGAACTGATTTGTGGTATTAATGGAATAAATTGTATTAAAATCACTTAGAAATTAGTGCAGCTGTGATGGACGGAGATGGCACCACAACCGACACTTCCCAGCTGGGAATCACGGGAGAATACATGGCGTCCAGTCACTATGTTCTTCAGCCTCAAGATGGTAAGGAGCTCCTCAAAATGCTACCATCGTAGTTGATAGTGAGCTGCCGCTTGTACTAGTGTCAATCATTTTGTAGATGATGCAGATGAAAGTCTAAACGACCACGACGACAGCGGAATCAAAGAGAATTACAGAGAGCAGGATATCTATCTTCCCATTGCCAATGTGGCACGTATCATGAAGAATGCTGTTCCCCAGACTGGAAAGGTTAGTGTTATTTTTATTTTATATTTTTCAGATACCTTGGATTTTATTTTTTTATATTTTTCAGATACCTTGGATTTATTTGAAGGTTATCTTATAGGGAGCCACTGTGAAGTCAGTCCAAAGAGCAAACCTTGTCTGATGCTTGATTTTTTTTAATTTATTTTTTTCCCCCAGACCAAGTGTTACCCGAGCTATGTCATGTTGTGCAGGTGTTTAAGTTTGACGTGGTAGATGACAATTCAATGCTTTATTTTCCATTCATAATTTTAAGGTAGAAGACATTGTGTTGTAATTTTGTCACACTGCCCACCAAGTTATTCTATTGGCCTAAATTGTTTAGAGCATCGTTGGTTTACTCAGGGCGAATAATAAATAGAGGGAGTTTGGTCATTTTTGCTTCCTGCTTTTTAGGTATGTTTAAAAGAAACCACAAAAATGAAAAGCCTTTAAAGGAATAATGCAGGTGCTTAAATATGAAGTCAAAACATTGGAAGTAAAAGTGCAGGAGCAATATATACTAGCAATAGTACATATTTGCAGAGTATTCTTATTTTGGCTTGACAAGACTAAATTACCTCACAATAAACAGAAAAATCATCTCTTTTTTCTCTCTGCTGAGCTCAGCAATGAGACATGTTGCTGGTTAATTTTAAGTTGCTGGTTAATTTTAAGTTACAGGTTAATTACTGGTTGCGCTGAAATATTGCATCATACAGTATATCAGATTCATTTTTTTCCGCTTTCCCTCTTGCCTGGCTGATTCCTCTCTAACATCCTTTGTCTAAGAAAATGTCCAAACCATCTCCACGGTGCCTCTCTAACTTCACCTCCAAACTGCTCAACCGTAACTCTGCCTTTGATCTGACCATTTCCAATCCTTGCATCTCCCAGAACCTTTAACAAGATTTATTCTATTGGTTATTTTTTCTAGTGGACATTTTTTTTTAGTCTCATTGAGACAATAGATTCTACTGGATTGCCTAAGACTGATTATTATTTTATTTTTTTTCACCTTTTTGTTCAGATTGCCAAAGACGCCAAGGAGTGCGTGCAGGAGTGCGTGAGTGAATTCATCAGCTTCATCACATCAGAAGCAAGTGAACGATGCCACCAGGAAAAAAGAAAGACCATAAATGGGGAGGACATATTGTTTGCCATGTCTACACTGGGCTTTGACATGTACGTGGAGCCCCTGAAGATTTACCTGCAGAAGTTTAGAGAGGTGAGACACCAGGCTTGAGTGGTACACCACTTACACTCATTATTTATGTTAAAAAAAAAAAAAAGATGTCCTAACCAGATAAGAATAGTCTCTGGGTGTGAGGTTAAATTCCATTTTTCAAATTAATTTCAAAAATAAGTAAAATAAGTTACACTAATGAATATATGTATATATTTTGACATACTGTGCAGAATTGACCAATTTTGTTATTGTTTACCATTATGATTATGCTCACCATTTAACAAAATATGTTTTAATAATGTTCTTTTTGCCCCTCTATCATTCACTCCCCACAAATGTCAAATGTTTGATCAGGACACAGTAAAACATCTGTAACATTGTAATTTCTACATTTTACAATGTAGAATTACATTGTAAAACAATCATCATCATCATCAAACATCATTTTATTTCAATACATTGTCCCAACACTGTTTGTAGTATTTTGTATTATATGATGCTCCATTTTTATGTTGTAGTAACACTACAAAACTCAGATATTTCAGGGCACTACAGTATATCATGTTGACATGGATAACTGTAAAATTCTCAGGGAGTTCCTCAAAAAAAGAGAGAAAAATATCTGTTTAAAATTTACTTCTTTTTTTTATGTATGAATATGTTATATATAAATATGGGCTACACCAGTGTTGTATAGTACAGCCCTACAGGATTAACTAAAACGGTCTAGAGTCACCACTGCTGTCTAGTGGTATTGTCCAAACCTACTTCTCTTCAACAACTATCAAAACCTGCAAATACTTTAATCAGTTTCTGTGTTGCCCCACCTGTGATTCTTAAGGTGATGAAAGGAGAGAAGGGAATGCCTGGCGTGGTTGGAGAAGGTCTGGGCGAGGAACTCACAGAAGATTCGTTCTGTAAGTAGAAAACTTAGTAGTACATGTTGATGTTGTGTTTGCGTTCACAAAACGTCTTTGCGTGTCTAAAAACATCATGAATTTTTTTTTTTTTCTTCATCAGCGAATCCGCTGCCGGCTGGGATCATCACAGCTGATGGACAACAGCAGAATGTCATGGTGTACACCACCTCATATCAACAGGTACAGTCATCGATTCAAATCACATTCTCATTAGTTTTTTCAGTAACACTGACTATCACTGCCAATGGCTCTAGTCAGTGGGCAGTGGCCTTGGGTCCAGGTTCGAGTCCACCAGCTGCTAAGTTACCACTGAGGTGCTCTGAGCCATGGCACCGTCCCCACTCACTGCTCCCTGGGCTCTTAAAGCTGCCCCCTGTTCACTTTGGTGATGGGTTAAAAGCAGAAGTCACATTTCATTGTGTTCAGTGGTGAACTGTGTCACAATGACAAGGAGTTCACTTTCCTTTTTCCTTCCTAGTTGTAAGAACAAAGGGCTTTGAGTAGACAGTGGTTAAAGGTGACCATGAAAGTGGGGGGGAGTAATTGTGTTCCTGTTGGTCAAAGACTATTGAGAGGGAAAGAATGAACTTGTGATAGGACGCAGCCCAAGAACAGGAAAGGCAGGAAACTCGGGGTCAGAGTAGAGACTTTGAAGGGACGACAACTAGCAAAAGTAGTGATGAAAAAAATTAGTTATACCACGGGGGTCAAACTCAAATTCACAGTGGGCCAAACTTAATATTTCTTTAAAAAAAAAGTATTTACATGGAAACAAACTTAGCTTAATATTATAAACACATGAGAAATTAAATTTGTAATAAAAGATGCATCATGTCCCTTTATCTGTAGCCTTTGGAGTTACTTTTTAATGTAAATCTTTTTTACAGACCAACAACAAAAAACAAAACAAAATGTATGTGCTATAAGGTAGCACATACACCACTAATACTACAAGTTTTGCCAGTATTTAGGGGCTATATACTGGCAGGCCAACTCTAGTACACATTTGATATTATCTCGTGGACCAAATATAATTACACTGCACTATAGCTGTTCATTTTGGCATGGAACTGAATAAGTAATTATTTAAAAAATGGTCTGGTACTGAAATGAATTGTATGTGTATTTCTACTTAATATTTAATCGATATCAAAGGATTCAGATCAATATTGAATCATATGGAAGTGTGACCTAATTGTAGTCGAATCAAATTCTTTGTTGTTCTTTGTTTGAGATTGTTAACAAAACTCTGCCCACGTTTGCACTGCAGTGTGTTGGCTTGAAATGATAGGTGTTTGTTTTGCACAACATTTTCAAAGTTTTTGCTGATCACTGCATTTGGGCTTGGGTATCGGATCGTACAGACTATAGTTGTTTTTTTGTTTTTTTTCCTCCAATGTTTGTCCCTGAAATTTTACCAAAATCAAACTGATAACAATTCTAGTATTGGATTGAGCCCCCCCTAGTCTGGACCCTTATGTTACTCTAGATGTCTGAAAAACATTAGTCACCCACAATCCCAGCTAATGCAAATGCAAACTTGTAACCAGCAATATGATCAAAGACAGGTTAGACTTTTTTTTTTTTTTTACAATATTTAAAAATGCAACTCATCTCAAATGAAACTTTACTGTCTCCTAGATCCCTACAGTACAGCAGATCCAGTTTTCATGACACGGACTTGCTGCTAGTCGCCACGCACTCAACTGACCAAGCCACCAACTGAAGGTTTCCAGAGAGACTCTGTTGGGTCTAATGGAATCCCCCACCTTTTAATTATGTAGAAAGTGTTGTTTCTAGTTGTGAGGTAAACATTGTTTGGAAAGGTCGTTCAAGGCCACTGGTAATTTTGAGGCTGTGTTTTAAAGGTGTGACTTTTCAGTTCCACAGTTGAATCTGTTTATACAGTAAATATATGGATGCGTTTCCTTAAACTTGTGAAGTTCTGGACAGGGTTGTAGTGTTGTAAAGAAGGATTATTTCCTGTTGTCTTCTCTATGTCAACTGAGAGAGTTACTGACCCTGTGTTTTTGAGTAGTGTAAATCTTTTGAATAAAAGAGTCACAATGAAATCCTGTTTTTGTTTTGTTTTTCATTTACTATAAGTACTAAGTAATAAGTACTGCTAATTGATGCACTGAGTGATCTGCACCTATTTCATTAATTTTGCGGACCAATTCTTTCATGTGAAACCGATCTTATCTACCTCCGCAAAGGTCCCAAAGTCAGCCACTGTCCCTTTTTGCTCTGCCATGAAAGAGGATGGTCTAACAGGCCTGCCCACCAGGTGGCGTCTGCACATGTCAACACATTGACAACATTCAAACTTCAACAGAGAAACGAACTTCAGCTGAGACACGTACATCAACGAAGAAACACACTTCAATAGAGAAATTAATTTAAACGGAAGAAAATGCTGTCACATCAGCCACCAAACGAAAGCACGCACGGCCACTAAGGGGACTGGACCAGTCTGTGGTGAAGAAAGAACGTTTAAGAAAATAAAGTGCCACTAAGGGGACTGGACCAGTCTGTGGGGGTGGTGAAGAAAATAAAGTGAAAAAGTACGTTGTCCTTTATGTATTTTCTTAAACGTTTGCCGGTAATATTTCACAGTGTTATAGAAGAGCATAGTTGCGTTCAAGGGTCCCGCAACATTAGCTTAAATGCTAACACCCTCGTAGCTCCTCCTTTTCATTGATACCTGAACTTTCCCTGTCAGACTTCCACCTGTCACTGTGGAAACGGTGACCGGTTCCTGGGCTGCAGCCGTTGCTGTTAACGTTAGCAGCAGGGCTAATACCTCCGCAGGTGTCCATTATCTCTAATTAACTTACGTTAGCCAATGGAAGAGGAGGGTGGTGGAGCAAGGTTCAAACACAAATCACACAGCCATAAGATTTACTGAAATTTATAAAATAATACAGAATATGTCGTTCCCATTATTCATGCCCCGCGCGAAATTTAAAGTTTTTTCTGCGTGTACTGCTTCTGGCGAAAACTTATACCATAAATACGACAGAACAAACTGGACTTCAGTCCTGAAAGGAGAACTGGAATGAACCGGATAGTTTGTGGACTAATTGTACTCGCATCCAGGACCGGGAGAAGGGAGTTTGTGTACAACGAAATACAAATTTTGGTGAGTAAGTTTCATTTTTGTCGATATTTTATCTAAAATTGAACGCTTCATATCGTTGACATTTATGTTTTGGGATGGTGTTGTACAGTATGGGTGAGCACCTGAGCACCAGGCACTTGAATGACCACACAGTCTCTCCTGAACTTTTATTGCTGACACGCGGTATTGAAACAGTGTCAGTTCTTCGGTCGTGCTCTTGAAAGGGTGCTATGGCTTCAGTTGTCCAGCAGATGTCACCGAAGCCTTGTAAGGTTCGAATGTTTTCGGCACAATTGTTAAGAAAGCCTCAGCGCTTCATAAGGCTTCACCTGCCCACCGTGAACATGTTAACCGCGATTAGCCCAGCCCTAATTTATATATATATTGTATTTATTTTATATTATATATATTTTAAAAGTATTTTGAAAGTTGTTGAACAGAGGAGTGAGTGAATACCTTTTATTATATTGGAAGAAAATCAGTATCGGCAAGTCACACATTTAGTCGAGCTAACTACTTTATTTAATGACTATAAAGATGACGTCCAGAAGTTTATCAAATTTTAACACAAATCACTGTTGGTCTAGCACTTGATAGTGAAAAAAACCAAAGGTTGTCTTTCTTGGTTGTTGCGTAAACGATGTTGTGTTTTTAATCACTCAATGTCGGTTAAATCCACAATTGCAAAAACAAGTGTTACAACCGGTGTAGGAGGGAACGGATGTCCAGCGACCTGGTTAATTAAAACAAACCTACGTAGGGCAGAACCAACACAAAACCTAATGAACATTCAGTTCATAACCCTTGGGAGGACTCTCAGTCACATGACCCAACCTGTACCAACGACAACCAACGACGTGGTCCTCAACTAGATGTCAGTATAAAGTATTCAGACCCCCCCCCCCCCCACCCTCCCATCCCCACACGCTGTTACTTTCTTTAATAAAATGACAGGGGCAACAGTGGCCCATAGAAATTGAGACCGCTGTTTAGACACCAGCTATTTTACCAAGATAAAAGTGTTTTTTTTTTTGTTTTTTGTCAAAATTTCTTTTAAAAAGTCTTGTTCTCTGAATTGAGAAAATATAGTTTTTATTTAACATCTGATTTTATACTATTTATAATTAATATAATATGATTTATAAGATGTTTGGGGTTTTGCTTTGTTAGTTTTTTTTTTTTTTGACCTTGTGTTTCAACTCAAATATTCATACATACATCTAATTATGTCAAAGACGTCCATTTTTGGACTTATAGTGAGACTAGTTTTACACAAAATCTTCTTTCCTTCCGCAAGATCATTTTTCATTTACATGAAGGTCCTATCACTTTTTGGTGATGGTTGTCAAGAGTCAATTAAATGGAGGTCACACACCTGCTAACTGCCTCTGATGAGCATCCACATACGACGTCTTTTTTTGTGGGGCAGAATGTTTATAGCAGTAGTGTCAAACAATGAATTTTGAAAGTAATGTTGGTGATGTTCTATCAAATTATATTTCATTAAATATGAATATTTTCTAATATACTTGTATTTATATGCAGAAAAATCTAATGAGTTTGTATGTGACCCCTGAATCCAAATGAGTTTGACACCCCGATTTATAGAGTAAATAAACATACGCCCACAATCGTAATCAAGTCCTGTCGGCTCTGCTGTTACCATACATGCACACGCCCTGTATTTCTCTGCCACCTAGCCACGCTGAGTGTGCCCAACTACAGCAAACTGGTCAAGCGTGAACTGTGGGTAACATCTGATAAAAAAAATAAAAAAAAGAGTGTTTCCTCAACTAAGGTATGTCCAGTAACTCCAAAGACAATGGCCAGGAACTTGGGAGGAACTTTCCACTGCAGTACATCCAAGTATTTCTGTCTCCTTATCCTGTGTGGCACTAGCTAATAGCACCAAGTTAATGTCTGTCCACCTTCCTGTTTGATGTCACTGTGATTCATCTCCCAACTGTCTCAGTCTTCCCTCTGTCTCCATTCAAACTAAGACATTTTTGGATCTGCCCATAGCCCAGATGATCATGTACATGATGTTGAATCAGAATGTCATATTTCCTGTGAGTGGCTGCACATCAGGGCCCCTTGGTTTCAAATTAGTCTCCGTCATGTTGTTCACTTCCTCCTATAGAAAGGCAGGGATTACTTGTAGC